TTGGCCTTAATGAGTTGTAATGTGTCCAGACACCTTCTTCAGTATTCAATACCAGCAGAGTCCAGTGGTCCGGAGAACAATTTTCTTTCCGACCATTTGAATTCATAGGGAAAACAACATATTTTGAATCTCCGAATGCTGGTATGTGCCTGTCTATTTCTTTTTCACGTGCATACTCTAGATTTGGAAGAGTTACAAAGGACTACACATTCAAAATATGTAAAAAAATAAGGTGTTAAACAACTGACAAATAATTTAAATGAACAACTAGTATTACATTGTGCTATTTATAAATCTTACCCAACAAAGACTATTAATGAAGTAGCAACGTCTTTGAAATGTGGACAACTCATTGTAATCATCAATTCCTTTTAGCATATCAGCCCAACAATCAATGACCTGTTAAAAAACAAATATCATGTTCCACTATACAGACTATGTTACACTGTCAACAAACACTTTATATCTAGAAAATTCAGTTAGATGTTACACTTTTAACAAATACGTACGTTGTTGTATAGCTCGCATGAAGGTGTCATTATTTTCAAAGCATCCTCCACATATATTACGCTTCCAACTCCAAACCCAGACCATATTTGAGCACTACAATGTCATAAAATTTGGAAGCAAACTTGTCATATATTCTATAGTAATGAACAATTTTTTAATAACAAAGTAGGCAAACTTGACGGTGACACTTACCCGTAACCCTCTTCATTATATATCGTCGTCAATTTGTTGAAATCAATGGCATCCAATGCTTCACAGTCCCGCCACATTTTTTTTATCTCTTTGTCTGTCAGTCCTTCAATGGTAGTTATTTTTTCCTTGCTGTCATCATCATCAACAATCTCAACTGTTCTCCCACATTTGTTTTCACTCAAATCTGTTTTACGGTTGATCGTATCTGACGTAACAATCTTTTTTTCCCTTTTTTTTCCCACTATACTCGAATTCTGCATCTCTATTTCGTTTTTTATCTCTTTTCTTTATGTTTCGGACCATAGATGTTTGTCCTATTTTTTCCTTTCCCACATGATCTTCACCTGCAATGTTGTCTTTCTGATATTTCTGGGTTATAAAATGAACAGATAATTCATTGATTTGATCAATCAACTCAGCGTTCTCTTTTTCTAGATTTTGTATTGTTTTCTTGCAACCTTGTATTTCTGCTTCAAAAGTTTGTTCATTTTTCAACAACTTCTTTCAACTCATTTATAATCGTCTCCTTTTCTTGAATTTTCAATGTGAATGTAGAGTGTTGTTTGTCAAACCCAACACCAGCATAAACAGAATGAGAATGCTGCAAATAACATTTGTCTGTGACAATGTTCCTTATAACAATTTTGTACACATCATTTTCCTTCAATATGTCTTGAAGCCTTTGGGTGTTTTTGTCTGTTTTTTCTCCTACAGCACCAACATTGTGCGTCGCTTCGTTCATTGCAGCATCAAGAAGAGATTCAAATGCCATATTTGAATGTCCATCACCTCTAATTGCATCCACCAAATCATCATCATGACCAAGAAATGTATCATTTTCTGCCTGCTTATTCCCACCACACTCAAAAACTTTTTCATCCACCTGTGCATGTTCTGCCTCCTTTTCTGCCTACTTATACTTGCTTCTTTTCCTTTTCTGCCTGCTTATTTTTTCAACTTCACCACTTTCGGCTTTTCCCTCAATTTCAGATTGGCCCACTTCTTGATTTTTGTTTCCCTTATATTTCAGAAAAATTTTCTCTTCTGCTGTTCTACTCAGTTTATGTCTCAAAATCTTTGTAACATTTTAAAAATATACAATTGTATACATTAATTAACACAAATATAACATGCAAGTGTATCATTACATTATGACATTATAGTCTTTTTTATGATGCAAGTGTATTATATGATAACATAAAAAAGATATAACAATAATGTAAGATGGACATATTAATTTGAATTTGTTATATTTAACCAACTTACATATTTTGACTTCAACTTTCCAAGTGTCCTTTGTTTCATTACTCTTTGAAGTTCCGGCAGTTTCCATTTCAAAATCTTTGGTATTGCATTTGGATTATCAGACTTGACAATTGTTGTATGTTTACAAAGCCAATACTGCACATAAAGGTAAATTTAATTTAATCAAATGAGTTACATTATGTTTATTGGACAGCAGAAAATAATATTGAAAATACAACCAGGCTGTTAACATCTTATCAGTAACAACATTACACATCCACTAACTCCAGATGGGCTGCTACTCTTTTTTTGAAGTGAAGAGATAAGAGATTCATGTATTGCACTTGACCAATCATACTTCTTCATTTCATCTATATCCTCAACGTATGAAACAAATCCCCATCTTATAGCTGTCCTAGTAGTTGTGAAAAAAAGTGTAAGTCTTGCAACGTCATCAACGTCATGTTTGTTTGTACCTCTTGCTGCTTCAAGCAATCTGCTCCTTATTAAAGTTGATGTCAATCTGCTATCTTTCTTGAATCTCCTTTTAACAAATTTTGTATTTTCCTTAGCATGAGATAAACAATCCATGGGATCGCGTCCATCATTAATGGCAAAAATTATTTTCACATCACTCCTTCTCAATTTAATGTCCTTGCCACCAATGTGAAATTTAGATTTATTATCATTGAAGCACATAATTACATCATGTATGATAGTATCGCTCTTCCTATACCATGTCCTGTCTAATTTTTTTTCAATGATGGATTCAAATAGTAACCAGAATGATGTTTTCCTCAAAATAACCTTGTGTGCTTCACTAATGTTAATTTGATCTATTGCTCTAATTATCGCAAGCAAATTCGATCTGTATTTAGCATCTTTCTTCGATTCCACGACTTGTTTTTTTCCCATCACAGCTCTGAGGTGGGAAGTGACAAAGAAAAAATGTGTATAAAGTATATCAAAATGTTAACTAAAAATATAACAATATAAACAAAATTAGACAACCAAAAAAATAGTGTATAACACAGCCACATAACTGAATCAAATAACAATGTATGACACATTCAAAAAGTGAAGCAAACATAATGTATAACACAGTCTAATCAGTGAAGCACAAAACAGAATATAACCAGTAATAGTGTCTCATTTTTCCATGTCACATTGAAAGTGTAAAGTGTTACATGGTACACTAATGGATTGTTATTGAGAAAGTTTGGGAGTGATCCACTATTCTTTATTTTGTTGGTAAACTAGTATGCTGTTACACTATTTTGGTAAATTTGTTACACTTCCATGTGTTACCATTCACATGTTACAGTTTGTATATTACACTGTGAAAGTGAACACAATCCACATGTAATCTTAAAAATGTTTAATCACAGAGTATAAGAACAAACAACCATGTTACTAAACAACCCAGACAATTAACTTTCACAGCACACGAATCTTTTAAAATAACAACAAAAAATCAATGTAAACTTAACAATATAATAACATAAAAGTGTTTCAAAACAAGTGTAATAACAAAAGCGTAACATTAATTGTGTAACGAAACACAATTTTTCAAATAGTTTTAAATTATCAAACAATTAAAATAAGATTCAAATATATAAACTTAAATAAGAAAAAAAGTGTAATGTAACCCATTATGATAATACACAAAAAAAAAAAAAAACATATTCTTATTGAACAAGGAATAAACATTTTGTATTCCTGCACAATATATTATTACCCAACAACAACACCTTATAAATATAATATACTGTTTCGTGTCTAATTGTCCACTATTAAACACGGTATTGGTAAATTGGTCACATTTTTATATATGTTACCTTTTCTATGTTACACTTTATATATTTACATTATCATATTCACACATTCAACATTTAGGATTAACACCGAGTGTAATCAGAGATAATTACACACACGAATAATAAACAAGTGTGTCACTTAACACTTCTCAGCACAACAAAGTTTAATAACCAAAACAAAAAGATTAAGTGAAACAAAATAAAATTGTTTCAAATAAAATGTAACACCAAAAGTGTAACATTAATTGTATAATCCAACATAACACAAACACTAGTTACATTGCCTTGAAACAAACGCTTGTGTGCATATGTATTTAGTCAACCCAGTTCACACATATATTCAAGTCTTGAAAAAACAAAAGGTTACAACATCCAACAATTTATGGTATAAACAATACATAATTTGACCCAAAAACAACAAAGATGAACATTATAGGCCACTCAATATTCAAACAAACAAAATAGGGTTCTAATACATGAAATTAATGACACAAAAAAAAATGAGAAAGATAATGTAACCTATTATGATAAAACACAAATAAATAAACAGGTTTGATCAGAATAAATAATTCCCACCAAACCGTCGATCTTCATTTCCTCTTCAAATAAGGCGATTCATCTTCTTCCTCATCCCATTGTTGGTTTGATCAGAGAAAGGGTGTTTGAATCTCCATTGTTTATCGATTCAATAAGCATTCAGGTTACAAACCCACAATCGATTGAAGAGGGCTTTCATGGAAGTGAATTTTTTCGGCATTCCTTGTTCTTGATATTTGCTCGATTGTGGTTTGAAGTGGGTTTTATTCTATGTTCGTTGATTGTTTTGATCGTCGAAAGAGGTAATGTATGTTTGTATATTTATGTATGTGTGTGTGTATATATATATATTGTGTAATATGATAATGAGTCACTCGTAATTAAAAAATTTAGTACAATACAATTTTTCATTCCCTGTTTGGTGGGATTTTATTAAACGAGTCCTTTGAAATTGCTGTTACCACTTGAGATTTTATTATTGGTCGGAGTACACATAAGCATTCTAGTCTCTCTTCGCTGGCGAGTACCAATTAAACCTACTCGAGCGAGTACATACCATTTTCGGCAATCCCCACATTGATTCTCCACCCGTACTAGGAGGACGTTCCATATTCCCTCCACGCCTATGGCAATCAAATATCTGCACACAGTCACTCCCACAACTCCAAATCACAGCACACAAAGAGAGAGAGAGAGAGAATGGCTAGCAGTAGCCCTAACAACATCAATGGCGTTGGCGGCGTCACTGGTTTTGGTAGTGGTGGTGGTGGTGGTGAGAACCACCCTTGCATTACGAGATTCGTCGACCGAGGTTCTCTTGAAAGCCACCGGTTGTACCTTGCTCGTCGGACAGTTCTGGAGATGCTGAGAGATAGGGGCTACATTGTTCCCGATTCTGAGATTGATCGTTCTCTCTCAGATTTTCGTTCTGCTTTTGGCGACAATCCCAACCTTGAGCGCCTCCGTATCTGTGCTTCCCTCCGCTCAAACCCCTCTAAAAAGGTACACACAAAATTGCCTACTGTATATATGTATATTAGATATATGTGTGTGTTTGTAGGGTGTGTATGAGTGTGTTGGGTTTTCATATAGAAAAGATTTTGCTCTGTTTATCGATGGAAAAGGCTACAATGAACTCGATAGCCCGGTGGGGGTGTTGATTTAGCTTTAGAGTTTAGACGAACCTCAAACTCATACATCTTGGATTCGGTTCTCATTGTTATTTGCGGCGTTTAACTCATACGTGTATTTAACAGGTGATTGCAAGTATCGGGATTTGGGTTGGGTCCAATGTGGCCGTAGATGTATTTAGCGGGTGATTATAAGTATTCTCTTCATTGACATGAAAGAAAGAAGTGAAAAAAAGGCTAGAATGAATAGCCACCACACTCAGTTACATGTTGGTTATACATCTCTGTGGGTTGGTCGCATAGGGGTCGTTTTGTTACAGTATTAAATTGTTTGTGGAAATTTTCTTTTTAGTTGTAAGTGCTCTCATTTGGGATTTTTTTATTATTGTTTGTAAATGATCAGTTTGATGATGTTGAATGTATATGTAGCTTTGAAGGTAATTTGAGTTTTTGGGTTTCGTTTTAGTATGTGCCTAGGCATTTCCGTTCTATTAGATGTATTATTTTTGTTGATAATACGTTCAATGCCCGTTTGATTACTGTTAAAATAATTGAATTTTGTACAGGGAACAGAAATTGTGATCCATATTGTTCTTAGTATATGCGAATCTGAGAAGTTGAACTAATTGATTTTATGATTTAAGAAATTTACTTTTGGTTTACTCTCTGTATATTCAGGTTTCATTCTATGTCTTGGTTTGATATATGTAGTACACTACTCTTGTTTGGAATTTGCAGTAGTCTGATACAATTCTTTCTTTGTTTCAGATTCTGGTTATTTTTTGTGGAACTGCAGAAATCAGAAAAGCGGTTATCATAGGCATTTTGAGTCAGATCGTCAACAAGGAAAGTTTGCACAGGGTGATCTTAGTTTTGCAAAGCAAAATGAATTTCCATGCTCGAAAAATAGTGGATGAGTATTCAATCAAAGTTGAGACTTTCCAAGTAAGTTACTTTGTGCTTAATCAAACTTCACAGTTCCAATTTTGTTACAAGGTTTTAGTACTATGTCCAGCAGAAAATGTTTTCTTATTTTCTTATCTCAAGAAGTTGTCATCAATTTGTAGAGAAGAAAATTCAAACATTTGATGCAATTCTTTGCTTGGTAAGGATTGGTCCATAATATACACCCTCCTCTCATTTTTATGCGAGTGACATTCCTTTACAATATAGTGTACTGCATGAATCCTTCTTAAAGAGTGAATTTCTCATGATTCATAGGCTAGTTTTACTTTTTCACATTCAAATATGAGTTGTTTTTGTTGATTACAGTCTTCATTGTCTGGCAATACGTATTTCCTGAACAAAGAATTGTCTCTGCATTGACTAAACAGTGATTGATTATATTTGCAATAATTTTTTGACCAGCTTGCAGCCTGATATCAATCCTCTTTGAATTGGTGTCACATTGTTAAAAGGCTGTTTGAATTGCATGCGACCATACTTGAAATATCAAATAGAAATATCAGTTATTTCTATTGCCCGATGGATTTTTGTTTACCATCTTCCTGTTCTTCAGTATTGGATGTGGGTATTCTGATAATTAATATGTGAAATCACTTTGCTAATACCACTATAAGTTATGAGATTTTATGGCAGCCTGTTATTGGAAATACACAACTGTGCGTGTAGAATCTTGTACAATATAAACACGAGAACAGATCTCTCTCGTGGTGAACTCGAATAAGTCAATCAAATGGTCAACCTTGCTATTTGGAACAGGCTGAGATCCGTTGGTGGCCTAAAACGGTAATGGGTGACTTTCGTGGATCAAGGGAGCGGTCCAGTAAGGCTGAGGGAGGTTCCTGGAACAGAGAAAGACAAGTTAGAAGGGCGCCGGAGTGTTTTCCGGCGTATCCCGATCAAGTCAGATTTTGAGAGGGGGGAAAAAGAAAACACTGAGTATAGGTTTGAGAAAAGGTTTTTCGTTGCATACCGTCTTGACTTTTGTGAGGAGTATTTATACCTCAAAAACTCATGATTGCTGTCAGTGTGGTCAGTAGGTGATCATTAGATACGGGCAACGTGCGCACTGATTCCTATGAGGAATGTCTTCTCTTTTAACTGTTCGGGATCCCGAGCAACCAAGGCTGTGTCATCGGCCTGCCGACTGTTTAATGAGCTCCTCTCGGCAAGGATGTAATAAATGCCCAGTCTTAGGGACATTTATTATCTTTCACTTCCGAGCCTTACCCTATTAAATGATGTGTCATCAAGAGAATGGTGTAATTAAATGTTTGTTTTCTCAAGTCGTGTGTCAGCAAGGGCATCCGGTCTTTTTGTCTCTGATGTGACACAATATGCCACGCGCTCATTCCCCATCGGTTGTGTCTTCTGCCTTCTTGTGCCTTCTGACACCAATTTGTGTAAGACGAGGTCATGATGGCTAACCTAGTCTAGCCTAGGCTAGTGACCTGTACATCAATAGCCTCTGCAGGAGCAGAGAACGTCATCCTGGATGGGTACATCTTGGTACTGAGGGGAGTGGTACATGTAGGGACCGATGTACCCATATCCCATCGAGGGATACGTGTCGGTATGTAACGTACTGGGTGTTATTGATCCCTATGAACAGTACCTCGGGGGAACAGGGACTTGTGCTCCGACGGGTACGTGTCGTGATTATAGTAACAAGAATTTACTGATGTCGAGGACACATGTCGAGGACACGTGTCTTCATCTTGGAGTATTTGGAAATGTCCCATCAACTGCCCCTCAGCCTTCGATCTCTTGATACCGAGGACACGCGTCTTAAGGAGACAAAGGGTTCTGCATTGCCTTTAGTCGCTTTCCCCTGCTTCGGAGGTCGTGCGAATTAAATGCGCCTCTTCGTGCTTCGTGCCCAAATGATGGGGATAAGTACTATATAAATGGGCTTCCTCTCTCACTTTGCCATTTCGGATTTCTTCAGAGAGCCCTTGTCTGAAACCTCGCCGGAGATCCCTTTCTTTTCGTTGTCTACTGTCCAATCTTTCACCGAAGTCTTAAGGCCAGCAGACCCATCCTTGCTTCTGAACATTTTGGAGGAAGGAGTCGCTTCAAGTTTCAAGAAAAACTTCCTTTTACGTTCTGGTGAGTCCTTGTATCTTCCCTTTATTAGCCCTCCGTCTCTTCTCTTCTTCTCGTTTTTTGTTCCTTTTGGTTTTTCGATAACTGGAGGCGTTTCTGGTTGCCACTCAGCGACTAATCCTCAGAAAGCCTCCTTGGGGATCTTCGTGGAAAACCCCCCTCCTTCTTCACTTTTTATCACTTTTTGGAGATGCCCCATCGTCGCCCTGTGATGGTAAGCCTTCATCCTAGGGTCCCTTGTCTCAAATTCTCCGTTAACTTGGTTGACTACCAGCATGGAATCGCAATGTACGATCAAGTTCGTAACCCCAGTTGCCTCAGCTAACCGAAGTCCTGAGATGAGAGCCTCATACTCAGATTCATTATTGGATGCTTTGAATCTCAGCCGAACGCCCTGTTCCGCGACCATTCCATCTGAAGAGACTAGCAAGATACTGATCCCGGACCTCTTATTGTTCGACGAACCGTCCACACATAAAAGCCATGGTGATCCCTCACAATTCGTTGGGAACGCTATGCCGGGAGGAGGCAGTCTCTCTGGAACGGGATGTTCCCCTGAAAACTCTACTATGAACTCTGCCAACACCTGACCCTTTATAGCGGTTCGAGGTTTGAAATGAATGTCGTGTTCCCCCAGCTCCACTGCCCACTTGAAAATCCTTCCGGAGAGGTCTGCCTTCCTCAAAATGGCCTTTAAGGGCTGATCGGTAAGGACGGTAATTGGGTGCGCCTGAAAATAATGCCTTAGTTTTCTTGCAGTTGTGACCAGGGATAGAGCCAGTTTCTCTAGGGACAGGTATCTTGTCTCCGCGTCCTGGAGCGCCTTGCTTATGTAATAAATCGGCTTCTGGCGGTGCTCATGCTCACGAATAAGTACCCTGCTGACGGCAAATTCTGATATGGATAAGTACAAGAAGAGCATTTTCCCCTCGATAGGGACGGATAGGGTCGGGAGAGTCCTGAGGTATTCCTTGATTCCAGCCAGGGCGTCTTCGCACCGCTAGCTCCATATATCCTTCTCAGCCCTCTTGATGGCTCCAAAAAAGGGTTTGCATTTGTCTGAGGCAAAACGGTTAAGTGTTGCCAGCATCCCTGTGAGCTTTTGGATTTCTCGGACAGTTCGGGGGCTCCGGATGTCTAGGATCGCTGGAATCTAATCCAGGTTAGCTTCGATTCATCGCTGACTCACCAGATATCCGAGAAATTTACCCGACTCTACTCCGAAAATGTACTTTGCAGCGTTCAGCTTCAGCCCGTACTCCCTGAGGGTGGAGAAGGTATCTGTCAAATCTACCAGGTGGTCACAGCTTCGTTTGTTCTTCACCAGCATATCGTCAATGTAGACCTCCATGGTGTTGCCGATCTTCTTTTTGAACATCCGATTCATCAGTCTTTGGTATGTTACCCCGACGTTCTTTAGCCCAAACGGCATCACTTTGTAACAGTAAACTCCCTTTGGAGTGATAAACGCCGTCTTTTCCTGATCCGGGGGATAGAGAGGGATCTGGTGATATCCTGCTCAGGCATCCAAGAAGTCCATGCGTTCATATCCGGCAGTGGCATCCACTAGCTGGTCCACCTTTGGTAGGGGTAGTCGTCCTTGGGACATGCCTTATTTAGATCAGTGAAGTCTATGCAGGATCTTGCACAATATAAATACGAGAACAGATCTCTCCCGTGGTAAACTCGAGTCAGTCAATCAAATAGTCAACCTTGCTATTTGGAACAGGCTGAGATTCGTTGGTGGCTTGGAACGGTAATGGGTGACTTTCGTGGATCAAGGGAGCGGTCCAGTAAGGCTGAGGAAGGTTCCTGGAACAGAGAAAGACAAGTTAGAAGGGCGCCGGAGTGTTTTTCGGCGTATCCCCTCCGACGATCAAATCAGATTTTGAGAGAGGGGAAGAAGAAAACACTGAGTATAGGTTTGAGAAAAGGTTTTTCGTTGCATACCATCTTGCCTTTTGTGAGGAGTATTTATACCTCAAAAATTCATGATTGCTGTCAGTGTGGTCAGTAGGTGATCATTAGATACAGGCAACTTGCGCACTGATTCCTATGAGGAATGTCTTCTCTTTTAACTGCTCGGGATCCTGAGCAACCAAGGCTGCGTCATCGGTCTGTCGACTATTTAATGAGCTCCTCTCGGCAAGGATGTAATAAATGCCCAGTCTTAGGGACATTTATTACCTTTCACTTCCGAGCCTTATCGCATTAAATGCTGTCTCATCAAGGGAATGGTGTAATTAAATGCTTGCTTTTCTAAGTCGTGTGTCAGCAAGGGCATCCGGTTTGTTTTGTCTCTGATGTGACACAATATACCACGCGCCCATTCCCCATGGGCTGTGTCTTCTGCCTTCTTGTGCCTTCTAACACCAATTTGTGTAAGACGAGGTCATGATGGCTAACTTAGCCTAGCCTAGGCTAGTGACCTGTACATCAATAGCCTCTGCAGGAGCAGAGAACGCCATCCTGGACGGGTACATCTCGGTACCGAGGGGAGTGGTACATATAGGGACCGATGTACTCATATCCGACCGAGGGGTACGTGTTGGTACGTAACGTACTGGGTGTCATTGATCCCTATGAACAGTACCTCGGGGGAATAGAGACTTGTGATCCGACGGGTACGTGTCGTGATTATAGTAACAAGAATTTACTGATGCCGAGGACACGTGTCTTCATCTTGGAGTATTTGGAAATGTCCCATCAACAACTACGAAATTTTGGAAAATAAATTTATCATACTTCTCTTCAATTGAGTTTTTTTGTGTTCTATTTGAAGTTCCATTATATGATGTCTAGTTGTCTACCCTTTTCAGGTTACTGACTTGCTGGTTAATTTTACAAAGCATGTGTTGGAGCCAAAGCATGAGATTCTGACTGCTGTGGAGAAGCAAAAGCTGCTAAAGAGATACAATGTGGAAGACAAGCAGGTTATTACTTTTTGTCCTTGCAATTGCCATCAACTACAATGGTAGCACAAATTTCAAAAAGGTGCACATTTAATTTTGTTAGCTAATGCTCAGATTCTTGAGGGGGGACATCAATGTCTATCTGTCTACATAAGTCAATACTTGTTTCATTGTAGAAACAGTAACACTGATATATAATATTTAGTTATTTAGTTAATCAATTCCTTAATTTACCCTTAAAATTTCTCAGGCATATGCAGAGTTGAAGTGTTTTTTTGATAACAAGTTTTGGAAAACTGTTCTTTTCAGTCGTTGAAGTTCTTTTAAAGTTATTGGTTAGAGATTTGATATATTACTGTAAATCAGAAACCGAAACTACACAAATCCGAACATCCTATATTAGACCTACATATCAATGTAGTCCAGTCATAGTACCACATGAATTAATCTTGTTCCGCATTTTCGTTTTCTATTGTTGTTGGATTTGAATTCCCTTGGCACATTCATTGCTCAGACTAGAGGTCTTAGCTAACCTCTAGGACCCCAATTCTGGTCTTTGCACAGACGATTGCTGCTTCTTGCATTAGTTTTGTTCTTGATATTAGTTCTTCTAGTTATGCTTACAATAAGAACTCCTACACCTATTTTTGAACTCGCCCAAGTCTTTTACCTTTACTTAACTGTATCCTGGGATTGCAACATCTCGCAACACTCGGCAGTGGAGTTGCTGTCTTGGGATATTGGTTAAGGGTTATCGGCACGAGTAAGAAAAATTGATGTTATTTTTGGATGTCGAGTGGAAGTAGTTGTTTTGTGTGTTTCATGCAGGTTGCTAAAGTGGGCTTGCCCTTGATAAAGATTCACAAGTCAAATTTGTGATTGCATTTTTGCTAGGCAAACTTTCCAATTTTTCCATCCCTGTTATATTCAGCTGTCAAGATTGAGATCACAAGGTTCAAGATCAAAACACCAAGTTTCAAGAACCGTTAACTATGCAATTCTCTTGTAGTTAAACAAAAAGAGTTCAATTCACAATTTCTCATAGTGGTTCATGCATTACATATTTGAAATGTTTGTTTTACGGCTATCAGTTGCATAAGGTTCTTGACCATAAGACACCAAACATGGCTAGAAATAGATCCTAGGGAGAGTTCGATGTTCATGTCATGGACATTCCAGGGTCTCAGAAAAGGAAATTTAACCATGAATTAAATCTATATTTGAGGTACAGCTGATTCCAATTAAGCTTCGTTAAAAATCAGTATCTATAGTAAAATTGTTTTCTGAGAATCGTAGCCAGAAACTGCTCTGTTTTTGCTTCTTACATTTGTTTTAAGGACTGTTCTGTTTTCTTCATCATTCTACTTGGGACATTAAGAACAGGTAATACTCAATCTTTGTTTTGTTATTTTAGTTGTTTAAGGAAAATCATTTTTTCAGAACATCCTCTGTTGTAGTTGTAAGAATGAGCAAAGTCAATGCAGCATGTCTATGATTTAAACTGCCGGTTTAAGAAACAATGCAGCATGTTTGCTTCCCTGGAAAAATGCTGCCAAGTTATGAATTGCATGCTCACATTTAGTTCACTTGATATTTATATAACTCACTTAAGTAGTCTGTATCTGTAATTGTATGATACATTTTTGTTATTCAGATTCCTCGAATGCCACAGAATGATGCAACTGCGAGGTACTATGGACTTGAGAAGGGGCAGGTGGTGAAAGTTACTTACGATGGCGAACTTACTGGTTCAATTGTCACTTACCGCTGTGTTATGTGATGCCATATTATGAGGTGGGGACTTATTAGGTGTGAAATAATTAATCTATATTTTAATTATTGCTAAATTTAATTATTAATTTATTATATAATTCTTTGAGTATCTAATATGTTATTTATTTAGGTATCTTTATGACCCCTTAAAGTATTTGTACATCGAATTATATTATAAAATTTTATTTTGTTATATAGATTTATTAGATCGCATATAATATTATTGTATACAAAAAAATAAAATATAATAAATATTTGACCGTAGAATTCAATCTGATAACTACATGTGTATAATAATTAAAATAATTTAAGATGTATAGGACTTAATTTCATATAGATATAAAAAATTATATATAATTATATTACAGATAAATGAATTCAAAAGAATTTAGAAATTAAAAGTCCTTATAAAAGAGTCCAAAATAAGTTTAAAGTCAAATAGGGTAAAAAATAAAAATTAGATGAAAGTATAAATGTGAGTATAATTGACTTTATTATAATAATTATGGATAAAATAAGAAATCAAAAATTTTTCGCAGATGCTGACATTTATAAGTGGTAAGTATAGTATTTATAAGTAAAAAGTTTATAAGATTAGACACACTATCACTAGAATTATAATACAATCTTCTGATATAGTTTATCTTGGTTATAGGATTACTTTGGCGAGGCTTTAAAATTTGACAAGTTAATATTAGCCTTGAATCAAATTTAGACAAATTTAAAAATGATTTGAACTGTAAAAAATAAAAATTATTTTATTTATTTTTTAGAATTTGAATTACCTTCTATTTAATTATATAGATTGATAAATGTTTACAAATAGTACACTTTTGCACAGGACACATGGCACAATGCCATGTGGAAAGCTTAGCAATTCACACATATTTAAGTGGTTTTCTTCAATTCAGTGTGCTAGTATACACCAATAGTTCTGGTAGAAAGTGTTAAAAGCTTAAGAGTTAAGACGTATGCAGAACCTTTCATTGTGTTCACACTATGCATTAGCAAAAATCCAAAACCCAAAACCTAACCCCTTTATAATTGCTAATAAGATTTGAAACCTTGGCCAACATTATCTATAATTCACAATGCTATATGAATTTATAAATTAGACTTGATAATCACAACTATTGAATAAGTAATAACTCCTAATAAATGTTGAGATTCACATAATGTTACATAAATTTAAAAATTAAATTTAATAATTATAATAAATATTGTGACTCACAGTAAAATCAATAATTATAATTATTAATTCTAATTTTTAAGTTTATGTAGCATTGCTCTTGTAATTATTCAGATTAACTTTATCAATAATCACTCAGCGTAGCCGCTTCCAACCCTTATTAACACGTAGGTCCCTCTTCTCCCCCTATAAATAAAGACAATTCACCATTTGCCTTAGATACAACTACTACAGTACTATTACCTGATAGCTTCAGAGAGAGAGAGAGAGAGAATGACATCCATGATGGTCACCACCGCCACCAGCTACCGTCGGAGCAGCAACAAGGTCATGATCACTGCATTGCTTCTTATGTTTATGTTGCTGATGGTGTCCGCGGTGCCGGACCGGGCCGGAAAAGTTACAAAGTTGGGAGAAAGCTGCATGAGCGGCTGCCTTACAAACTGTGTCGATTTCCTCCAAAAATCATACGCTGAATGCTCTGCAATGTGTGCCACACGCTGCGTAGGTCAATGTGGAATGGATCCTGGATGCAATTTGAAGGCCATTCTGGAAATGTAGCAACCATGTATGATCTAAATATGTGTGTGCACGTGCGTTTGTGTGAATTTTCAGGTGTGTATGTTTGTAATTGGATAAAGGTACGGAGACAGAGCTCCCCTTTATCCAACGAATAAAATTTGGTGTATCCTGTCGGCCACCTTGTCGTGATTGTTATGACGATGATGTTATTGTTATGACGTTTTTTTAACAACTCAATAAAGTCTTGTTGTTGTCGTGAGAAAATCTTGTTATTGTCGTGATAAGATGTTCATCATAAAAGCCTATGCATGCACAGGTAAATATGTTTGTACTTAAATCAATTGATATGTTTTTTAGGTGTGTAAAACCCGAGGAAAAAAATAGGGGTAAAATAGTAATTAGATGTTAAAGCACAGGTCAAAAAAGTAAATTTTTATATAATTTAGATGACAAAACGGATCTCACCGATGGATTCATCCCGCAAAATCTAACTATCCAGTAAATTTTTGTAAAATTCTGAGACAGTCGGATTTTTCACATATTGCGAATCAATCAGTTGTCGCACGACTAAAATAATTGTGATCAGATTTTATTTGTGAAATCAGAAAAATAATTTAAAATTAGTTCAATAAAAATCTACTAAACTTAATACGAGACTAGATTTAATTGGTTCGAAATAAAATTAGAACCGTTAAAAAAAATGTGTGGCACAACGTGAGCCATATATTTAAACTATATAAAGTGGAATTTTTTTTTTCTTCCACTTTAGTCTTCTAGACTTCTAGTAGCCAGGCAAGAGAGAGAAAGAAAAAAAGTAATTTTCTTGATTTTCTTCTTTAAATCTACGAAAATTAAACAGTTTAATCATTTCGGATCAAGAATTAAAATTGTTCTACGCAACAAAGGCTATGCAACCATACCAAAGATCACAATTTTCTCCAAAAATATCAAAATTGAGAATTTAGAACTAAGGCTTAGAAAGCTAAATTTGGGCTTTCCTAAGAGTTCTATTACGTGGGCTCACGTCATGGGAGATAGAGTTTTTCCTATTTAGATGTAATTTTAACGTAAAAAATGGCATATGAAATGAGTAAGTTAAGGGTGTATATCAAATGTTAAGTCTTGACTAGTGTAACTTATGGGTCAAATGTAGGATTTATAATTAACCTTGTAATTAGTAAAATTCTATTATGATTAACTTAGTGTAAGTTAATGTTAATGATTTAAAGGATATTAATTGTACATTAGCATGACTTAATGTTTTAATGACATCAACTTTAATAAAATTATTAACTTGTTATGTGATTGTAAAATAATATGTATATTAAATGATTATTTAGCATATGATTAATGTACTAGATTTGTGCTTATGTTTATAGAATTAATAAACATGTTGTCATGATGGATATAATAAGTATGTTAGTTGTGTAAATTGATGTGCCTTCTAGGTGTTTGTTTAAATGTCTAGGTGAATACAAGTATGTTAGTTGAGTTGATTGTTTTATATAAAATGTTTGGGATTGCGTTGAAAATGTGATTGTATTGCATTCATTATGTAATGGACATTATAAATGGAACCAAAGGTAATTGCACGTTGTATTGCATTATGCATGAGTTGCACTACATTCATGGGCATTGACATAGGTGAGAATGTGTGCATAGTATAAAATCAATCACCACATAGGTGGTTGATCGTGGGTTAGGGAAAATTGTATCAAGGTCCAACTGAGTCGCACAGAAAATTAACTGGATAAATGTGTCGGGGTGTAACAAGAAGGACTAGATTCTCTCTCTGGTGTAAGACCCGCGTACTTGATTTATACACTTTTCGGTGGTGCAATCCCATAAAAGTGTAACGGTGAAAACGGAACTGCATGTGGGATGTCCTAAAAATTCATTGATGGTGTAGTGTCTCATTGGTGAAATAACATAAATCATCACCCCACAAAGATACGAGAAAATGATTTAATTAATCATTGAATATACATAAAAACCAATGATGGAGAGTTGGAATGCCCGGATACATACGCATGACATTGCATGTGTTGTGGAAGCCCGGGATGGGGCTCGGTGTTAATATTGCTTGCGTGAGTCTCATCTCATGGCATGACGTGATTTATGACATTTGTTCATAATACATATATTTAAATAAATGCATGAAATGATTGTTGTATGTGACATTTCATATGCATTTGAGTTGAGATATATTATCTATAAGAGTTACCCTATTGAGCGTTGGCTCACTCTTTAAGAAAACATTTTTTAGGTATCGCACAAGCTTACACCGAAAGCGAGGCCATGGACCCGCTTTGATGACAAAGCCGGTCCGTGGCTCTTATTTTGATGTTGTAGTGCCTTGTATCTGTTTACTTTTAACCTTGTATAATTTTTGTAAACAAAATTTTTTTTTATATTAAAAAGACATGTATATAGGATTGTTTTGAGACATTTATTCTTTTATGAATGTATGTACGCATAGATAATGATTATAATAGTATCCGATATTATGCAATTGATTATAGATAATGGACCCACTGTGGTCAATGTTGTATGATTGCACAGATTGCTTGTTTGAGCTATTGTATATAAGACTGTCTTTAATGTATAGTTCAACGCCCAACATACTCAAAAACACCTCGAAAAAGATGAATTTCGATATTCAATCACTTATTCGTTTTAGTTTCCATGGAAACGAAAATGTTTTAACCAATTTGAACATGTTCTCTTTATAGCCTTTGTGCACTACTATCCAAAATGGCATCACACACCCATTAAAGGTGATCCTGTGAATATCCCAAACCATTCAAGTAACCCAAAATCATCAGCTACATGAGTATAGCTGGTTAATCTAGGTACTAAAGCGAATCTACCAAAGGTACAAAAAAAAAACATATTTGTTAGTAAAGGCATACAAGGTTGTTCCCCAAAGAAGGTATCATTCTGGAAGTGCAGATTGGGCTCCATTAAGAAGTTTTTCTAGCCTGTTTTTCAGTTCTGTCACTTCCGCCACTAGTCTGCTTCATCTTCATCACTACTAGGTGATGAGAGATCTGACACCAGCTCCATTTTCAAAGGCTTTTCCACCTAAAAAAGAGCTTTAGACTCTCCGTGCAGTTTAAAACCCCCACACCTGTGTCAACTATCATGTTGTCAAGATTGAGAAGCATAATTTTCAAAACAGAGTTTAGAATTTCTTGAACAACAGCTTTCTAATAAGAAAAGTCATCTAGTCATTTCTTATTTATTCCGTAAAATAATCCTATATAATATGAGCAATTTTTTTTTCTGTTTAACCA